CCGCAGCGGCGATGGGCAGCGGCGGGGCCGCCTCTCGGCTCGCCGCGCGGTGCCGGCGCCCGGCCCGGGGAGCGCCGTGAGGAGCGGCTGCAGGTGAGCGCCGCGCCCCGCGCCTTCCCCGCCCGCTCCCCGCCGCCCCGCGCGCGCTCCTTGCCGGCGGCGTTTTAATTTTTAAATCCAACGGCTGTCGGCGAACGGCTGCGGGGGGCGCGGGGCTGACAGCGGCCGGCAGGGCGCGGCGGGGAAGCGGGGCTCCGGCGGGCCGCAGGTGAACGCCGCCGCCAGGTGCAGCGCTCCGCGCCGCCGCGCCTCCCGGCCGCCGCCTCCCTCGGCCGGGACGGGGGGCCACCCGCGGACGGCGGAGTGGCCGGGGCCGCCCTCATCGTTCCCCAAACCGGGAGGTTGAGCTTAGCGCTCCCCTCCTGCCCGCGCCTTCCGCCTTGAGGGTGCGACGATGGGGCACGACCGCTACACCTTTTGTCATCGGCGCGGAGACAAAGAAGGCGGCTCCCCGCGTTCCGCCTCGCTTCCCGGGGTGCCGCCGGGCCCCTCCGCTCGCTGCTGCCGGCGGTGGCGGTGCCGCTAAAAGGACGCGTTGATACGCCTCCGAACGGGCTCGAGGTTTGCGTTCCTGAAATTGCTGCAGCGGTATAAATATATGCATTTATTCGGGGTGACGGGATGGGGTCCGTCGATGCGAACGTGGTGTGGTTTGCGGTCCTCGTGCGGAGGGTTCCGTGCCGGGAGCGATGGCAGCGCTGCCTTGTAACCTGCCTGCTAACCTGCCTCCTCCCCGGCCTTTTTGTCTCCCGGTCCTGCAGTCTCCACGCCATCCGCTGTGTGAGGAATGACGATGGCTCCATGAGAGAACTTCTTCGCATCTTTCGCTCGCTCTGCAGCCCCCATTGCATGCTGCTCCTGGACAGTGATGAGCCGTTCAGCTGCGCTGGGATTTTCTACCGTGAAGAAAGGAGAGGTGGAATATGAGTTGTAGACATCCTCTCGAGCTTCTTGTGCGTTGTTTTTCCCGCATCTGTATATAAACCTGCTAGCATTGAGCACGCACGCTCTTACGCCTACTTTGGTGTTCCTGCGACTGTGCCACAGCACTGGTGTTTCTCGCCGTCATGGCTTCAGTTTGGAAAAGACTGCAGCGTGTTGGGAAACATGCATCCAAGTTCCAGTTTGTGGCCTCTTACCAGGAGTTGATGGTGGAGTGCACCAAAAAATGGTAAGAAGTGGCTCGCGCTGCTGCCCAGATGAGGAGTGAGTCGTTGATGCTGAAATTGAAGGATGTTGCCCGTTGCGTGTTGCTCGCGGTGTGTGATCTCTCTGGGGACCAGCATTTTGGACCTGTTGGTTTTGTTCTGCGTTGTGATTTTCTTTGCTGGTTTATAGTGTGGGACAGTGCACTTATGAGCTCGGCACCTGTAGCTTAGTGGGTTTTTTTTTGCTATTCATCTATTTATATTGTAGATATTTTCCAAGAGTCCTATTCTGACCTGCAGCTTGCTCGTAGGGCTGAACGTCCCCTGCTGATGCTGCCCTTAGCTTACTGAGTCATTTGGGATCAGCCCTGAGCATGGTAGTGTTGTCGTCCGGTTTTGATTTTGACTCCTGTACTCGAGAATGTCTCATCTCTCCTCCTTCATTTCCATTTTCTAAAGGAAAGAGATGAGAGATGGATCCTTGGGAATTGTCTGAAGGTGTTTGTTTAGTTGGACAGGAATTTCGTGCAGCAGCGGTCCAGTTGGATGGCTTTGGAGCTGACTAGACAGCAGTTATATTAATTGTGGGGTCTGGCACAAGCATGTCTTGCTTCCTGTGCAAAATGAACTTAAGTGCATCTGATGGGGAAGACTGGAAACAGCTTTTATAGTCTGCTAGCAAATATCTCCGTTATACAAATACATGAATGCTTTTATACCTTTGGAATATGGATGTTGTAATTCCTCGCATCAGTGTGAGCTGTAGTACCAGGGCATGGAGAAAGTACTTTGCTGTCCTTCTGGACAGAGGTGTTCAAACTGCCCTGAAACAATCAGCAGCCTCCTCCTAATACTCGCTTTATCCTGTTGGCAAGGCTGGCCCTTGCATTGGCTGCCTTTGCTGGTTGTGAGTAATTGCCTCTACAAATTCAAATTCTATTTCTCGGTGTTGGAAATGTCTGTCAAATGTGCTGGAAGGCTGCTTGCTGCTCTGCCTTAAAGAAACACCGCTGGCTTAGTTGTTTGTTTACTTCTAACAAACTACCTGCTAGCTTGAAGTGTCTCCATAGATGACCAAGAAACAGAATTATTTTGGAATTTGAACTTTCTTTCACTGAACAAACTTAGGAATAAAAATATTGTCAAGGTTGAAAGAGGCTGTCATGGTCATCTCAGGTGACCAACCATCCAGTTCAGGCCCAGGAGTTCTCCATGGTAATTGTATCAGGTTTATTTCAGTACTTGTGCGTGTAATGTTTAATGGCTTTTCATCTTCTATTTATTCTTCACACCAACTCACCTCTTTTTGCTCTCATTTTCACTTTTACTCTTTTCTTGTGAGTGTGCAGAACGCTTCAATACTGAAGTATGAATGTTCAAATTGAATCTGCAACCTCATTTCACTCAAGAAAAAGTCACACGCACAAGTTTGGCTGCAGTCTCGTTAATTTAGAAACAGTTAACTTCTTAGTCCTTCATAGAGTGACCACCTAGCAATACCCAGCACGTTGAGTAGTGATACTGCCTTTCATAACCTCAAACATGCAGCTGATGTATATTTTAGAAGTTGTGCATCTGAGTCTTTGCTTTGTGTTCTTTGATGATAACATGCAGGGTTGGTGCTTGCATTGGTTGTGAGGAAAGAGGCATGGTGGTGAAATGTGGATGAATTCTAGGAAAAAAAACAATGGGGAAAAACATCATTCACACAATCATTTGATTATGAGCTTTCTGTTCTGTTTCCTCTTGTTTGGAGAGCCTTAACAAAAACGTTCCTTAAACATGTGAGTTCCAAGGGAGAAATGAACTCCATATGCTCTTTTCACTG